ATATACACACACACACACATATATATATATATATATACACACATACACACACACCGTATATGTGTGTGTAAGAAAATAAAAGATCAACATTCTAAATATGCTTTACAGATAGCTAGCTAGCTAGCTAGATATAGGATCCCGGAATGAATGGGAAAAATGAATGTGGGGGGGCGTCAGCGAATTTGTAGGTACCGTAATGTACATAATACGTAATCGACTATAGTTTTAAGTTGTAATATCACCAATAACCACGAAAATAGTTGCACTTACACTGGGTCTTATACTGCCCTAGACTACAATATGAGTGTGCCTCATATTTTTTTTTAGAATTTGGAATGATATGCAGGACAACCATAGTAATAAATGTATAATAAAATTTTGAATTAATTGATTTTTATGGGAAAAAAAATTACAAAATGAGTAACCGGTTCAGATCCTGGATGGCTGGATGGGTGGAGTTCTTGCACTTAATGTTGGTTTCTTCTTCATCTGTTTTTTGCCATCCTTGAATAGTAATTTTTATGCAAGACAATCCCTCTGCTCGAGAAAAAAAAAAAAAACAGTGTGCGGTTATTTTGCGGTTTTCTTCAAACACTTTGTTGTTGGGTGAGGACAGTGGATCTTTTGAAATGTATTCAGAGCAGGAATGCACGTATTTTGTGCAAATTTAAAACAGCCTTTTTGCCATACATCTGGTTACAAATGTGACCCTCAAGTAACAGTGATGAAAAATTATGGCCCACTCCAGCATTTAACTTGGCCATCCCTGTTTTTGAGGCCGCGGCAGTGACAGTGGCATGGTTCTTCAGAACCTCTTTCAACCTGTAGGGCGAGAAGGGCCAGGACAACAATGTCACGTGATTGGCCAACAGATGTAGATGGTTCTTGCGATGCAGTGGAACTCTCCTGCACATTACCATTTCCTGATTTCAAAGGGGAAGTCAACGAAAAAATTTTCTTGGGAATATGTTCTATTCACCCCCACTAGTCTAAAACACAGTATTGTGAATAATACAGTATTGCGTTTCTGGATTAGGAAATTATGCAGCCATTTTGCCACTTACTGTTGACTGAAAATGACATCACAGTTGCACAGGGCCCAGTTTACCAATCAAGGTAAAACTTTTTTCAGAGTTTGGTCATGTGACATTCAGAAGCTGAGCCGTTGTTCGTCATGAATAGAGCCCTGAGCAACTGTGATTAATTTCCAGTCGACGGCAAGTGGCCAACGGGCCACCTTGTGAGATGGATAAAAACGGGTTGATTTTGATTCTTAATTCATATTCCACCAATGCAATATTAATAAGAATCCTGTGTTTTTTGGCTCGAGGGGTCACGTAGTTCATATTATTGTCATCAAAATGTTTTACTTGACTTCCTCTGAGCAAGCAAAACAAAACCGCACACCGCAATTTCATAAAAATCAGTGGTGGGCACAACAATGAACTTCCATCAGTCACAAACAGCTGACCCGGAAGTCCGTAGTGTTTATTTCATGCCGGTCCAGCCCACTAAATTAGATTTCGTTAGCGCTACTTAGAACCATCAGTAACAAAAAAATAAATAAATAAATATGATGCATACAATTGTATTCATTTAGAAACAGATTGGACAACTTTACACACACACACACACACACACACACACA